GACATTTAAAATTAATTATTCTTAAAAAATAAATAAAAATAAGAGGTACAATATGGATTTATGACATATAAAGTCATTAACTATTGAAATAAAATTTAAAAAGCTCCTTTTATAGTGATTTAAAAATATGAAATATATTGGATCATACTTAAAAACTAACAAAAATTGATCAAAATCTATTTTAAATCTCAATAAATATGATTCGGAAAAATAAATAAATAAATATGCATATCAGATAAGTTTTTTTCAAATTGTATGAAAAATAAAAAAATTCACGGTTCTGGTTACTGCAACCGTTACGCTACGGCCTTTACACCTCGCAACTGCACCACCGCAAACTGCTTTTTGAAACCTTGTTTGTAGATTTTGGAAATCAATAGTTAGATTGATGTTTAACCATATCATTGTCGATGCAATTTGGAAATTTGTTCTTCAAGGAAGTTTGGTTAATCTTGAGACAGTTTGGAAATTATTTTAATTTGGGTTTTTTGTTTAGTTAGATTTTTTTTCTTTGTTGGGCTCCTCCATGCTTTGTAGTGGTTGTTTTGTATTCTTTCCATGCCCTCAGATTTTGTATTTCATGCTTTTTGTTCATATGTTTGTTTCCTATGTCAAAGGCATTGCTTCATCTTTTTTGCCCTTCCCCTCTCTATCTGGCTGATGTCTGTAGCATATTTTATTCTCTTATTCCCTTGATTTCTCTAAAGGGAGCTATAAATTTACTAACCTATTGGTTTTGTTTTGACCTATCTCAAGTTGCATTGTTTCTGTTATCCTATTACTTTTTATGTGCGAGTAAATTGTGTTGGATTATTAAGTGCTTCCAGTCTTGATCTACCTGGTATTTCAAGTAATGCTTGAATTTTTAATTAGTTGTTTTTTTCATTGAGCTTATTCAAATTAATCTAGAATATCAATTCAAGCCTCTCACATTAAATTTCTAACTTTGTTTAGGTATATTTCTTGTAGTGAGGATGTGTAGTGGAAATTGTGGCCACTTAATCTCAAATGTGTATGTGTGTGGAAGTATGATTTCAAGGCGATAGTAGTATATGATTAAATAGAATTTTGTAGACTTAAAGATATTAAACCATACTATTACATCATCTATGTGAGCAGTTTTTGTCATAAGCTTAATACCATTAATTTATTTGCTTTAGAGGTCCGTAAATATGGATGTAGTTCATACTTCATTGTGTAGCTTAAAAATTGTCCAAGTAAACTTTTCAAAGAGATGCATTTAGTGGAAGGTGCTATAGAGCTGAAATTGCAGCTTTTATGCAATTTCATGTTGGGCTGACAAGATAGGCTATCATCCTTGAGGAGTGCCATATATATTAATTAATTAGGACATCACTTTCTCGCAGTCTCTATTGAGACTAATGTTCTCTCTCATATTTCTTTGTAATCAAAATTATTGTCTTAATTTCTAATTAACTTCCTCACTTTTTGTTTCGTTTTTCCATTTTTTGTTTTTTTTTGTTTTTTGTTTTGTGTGTGTGTGTGTGTGTTTAAATTGATAGTATTAAAATTTACATGGATGCCTTTCTCCTAATTTCTTCTTTTTATTAATTATATGACATATGAACTATTGCAAATTTATCAATGATGGTTTTCTGATTTGGTTCTATATTTTCTTCTATATTTTCTTCTTGGGTGTTTATGATTCTTATTCTCTCTCACAATTCTTTGTTTAATATTTTCTTTAGTATTTTATAAATTTTTTCAAATTGTTTAATTTTCTTTTCATAAATATATTATTATCTATTGCTTGATTTTTCTTTGCTTTTGGTTTGTTCGCTAAGTAGCCCTGAGAAAAGAATTCGTAACTGTTGGATCTAAATGTTTGAGATTAGGAAAAAACGGATCTATCTTTCTCCTCCATTGAGACTAAGTTTCTCTCATATTTCTTTGCTATCAAACTCGTAATCTTAGTTTCTAATTAACTTTCCATTATTATGTTTCATTTTTTCATATTTTTTAATTGATAGTATTAAAATTTATATAGGTGCCTTTCTTTCAACTGTTGCAAATTTATCATTGACGGTTTTCTAATTTGGTTACTTGTTAATTCTGTATACACTGTCTGATTTTCGTAGCTCTTATTCGGAAAAAACGGATCTATCTTTCTCTTCCATTGAGACTAAGTTTCTCTCATATTTCTTTGCTATCAAACTCGTAATCTTAGTTTCTAATTAACTTTCCATTATTATGTTTCATTTTTTCATATTTTTTAATTGATAGTATTAAAATTTATGTAGGTGCCTTTCTTTCAACTGTTGCAAATTTATCATTGATGGTTTTCTAATTTGGTTACTTGTTAATTCTGTATACACTCTCTGATTTTCGTAGCTCTTATTCCTGTCTCACAATTCTTTGTTCAATATTTTCTTTATTATTTGATATATATATTTATTTATTTATTTATTTATTTTATTTTTCCAAATTGTTTGGTTTTCTATTGGTAATATATTGTTCATTGCTTAATTTTCCTTTGTCTTTTGATTTGTTTGTTTGCCAAGAAAACTTGAGATAAGAATTCATGACTTTTGGATCTCAATACTTGAGATTAGAAAAAATAGACATCTCTTTCTTGCAGTCTTCGTTGAGACTAAGTTTCTTTCTAAGATTTCTTTGCAATCAAAGCTATAAGCTCACTTTCTAATTAACTTTCTCATATTTTGTTTCATTTTTCCATATTTTTTCATTTTAATTGATAATATTGAAATTTCTATAGGCGCCTTTCTGCAAATTTCTCCTTTTTCAATTATATGACAAATAAATCATTGCAAATTTATTGGTGATGGTTTCTAATTTGGTTATTTGATAAATCTGTATACACTGCTTGTTTTTCTAGTTTTTGTTGTCTCACAGTTCTTTTTGTTTCTTTTGATAACTATTAAATATATTGCTTGTTGCTTGATTTTCCTTTGTCTTTTGGTTCGTTTGGTTGCCAAGAAATCCTGAGAAAGAATTCATGACTTTTGGATCTCAATGTTTGAGATTAGAAAAAACGGACATCTCTTTCTTGCTGTCTCCATTAAGACTAAGTTACTCCCAAATTTATTTGCAATTAAAATTATAGTCTTAGTTTCTAATTATTTTCCCATATTTTGTTTCGGTTTTTTTATTTAACTTTTTTGTTTTAATCGATAGTATGGAAATATATAGGTGTCTTTCTCCCAATTTTTGATTTTCTTTAATTATATGACATATGAACTATAGCAAATTTATCAGGTAAGACGATGGAATTAGTAGATGTTATGATTAGGATGAGAGTTAGTATAGCATGCATACAAGAAACTAAGTGGACGGTGAGAAAGTTAGGGAAATTTAGGATACCAGTTTTAAACTGTATTATAGTGGTAAGAATAGACATAGGAATGGAGTAGGAATCATAGTTGCCAAGGGTCTTGTGGAAAATATAGTGGCAGTCATTAGGAAATGGGATAGGATTATGTTAGTTAAATTAGTTATTGGTGGGAATATAGTGAACATTATTAGCACCTAAACTTTAGCATTAAGAATCTTTTCAAACAAACCATGTCCATTTTTTTATATAAAAAAACCCAACAAACAAGTGAAAGATATAATTGAAAAAGACTGAAAACAAAAAGGTAATTTAACAAGATTAATGCATTTATGCTACCAAAATAAACATAAAAATGAAAAATAAAGAGAGAGAGGGGGAGAGAGAGAGAGAGAGAGATTTGTTTATAGTTCATACTCGGTCGACCCATTGACGAGAATCATCGGTGAACTCGAAAGCAGGGTCATTGAGAAGCTCCGATTTCAGGGAAGTGTACACTTCCAGGAATTTCGACTTTAGATCGCTCATTGTTTTCACAGAGAGACAGAGAGATTGGATGGCGAATCCTGGTCGTCCGTTTGAGTTTGATGGGAAGAGAGAGAGTGTGTGGAGCCAATGGAGGGAGAGAGAAGTGTTCTTTATAGAGGGGGAAGATGGTTGAAAACGACGCCGTCTCTATTGGAATCTGTTAATATCAACGGTCTGCTCACCTCCCTCATGGACCTCATGTCTCCTGGGTAATTATTCCCTACTATCGCAGCCATCCTCATTAATCAATCACAACAAATTTTATGAGAAATTTTTATATGCCGGTAGGGTATCATGTGCCACTATTTTTCACCAATCACAAATATATATATCCCCTATTATTTCTTAAATACCCAACATAATTATAGTAAATCCTTCTGTTAAAACTAATCACAATAGTAAAAGATATCATATGCATATATCATATTCGCATACAAAAATTACCCAAATTTTAGAATAAATTATAAAGAAAAATGCTAGCGATATCAACAAAATTACCAAGAAATGTATCAAATCACTGGCATGGGTGTGAGACTCACATCCATGTGAGTGTTTGATAAATTTTTTGATAACAAATTTGGTGTCTTTAGTATTGTTGAATTACAAATATATTTTTTGAGATTTGTTGAAAATATGACTTGCCTTGTGTGATTTTGAAAATTACAAATACCCTCTTATGGTAATTTTTTATTTAATAGAATTAACAGAAAAAAAATAAAATCCTTAACTATTCTTCTATGTAATAATAAAATTATTTAAATTATTAATTAAAATATATTTTTGACATCATTAAATATTATTAATTACCTTAATGATTCATTAATAAAAAAATAAATTATTATGTAATTAGAAACATGAAGGAATGAAATGTAATTTTTAAAATTATAAAAAAATTCATATTTTATAATCGGAAATGCCTGAACCTAACCCACTACACCACTACCACCTCCACTTCACCTACTCTTCACCTACTACACACTCAACCTCTTCTATATATAGGAATCATGAATCATTGTAATAGATATCAATATATCAATCAATAATAATACATACAATTTATTCTCTCTCTTTCTCTATACATTATTTCTTACATGGTATCAGAGCTGGTTTAAAACCTAGTATTTTCGCTTCCCCGGCGGGCGGCAACCTCACCTTAGCCGCCCGCCGGACCTCAACCTAGTCCGCTAGAATCTTCGCCATCACCTTCCTCACCATGGCAGCAGCTTCCCTCTTTCTCCATTTACTCGACGAGCTGAGTTTTGCTTCCGTGCATTGGGATAAGATGGCTGATTACCCACACCTGCGGCACCTCTATCGGGAGTCTCATCGCCTCGAGGCTTCAATCTTGATCTTCCAGGAGTGCCGTGGCTACCATCATACGAGTTCTTTCCTTCCCAGGAAGGAGATGCACTACCTTTTCCCACGATCTTTGCTTGATGATGCGGATGAAGTGGTGACCGTTCTATGCTATGTTCAGATCCAACACTTTGTCTTACAGGTTGGCCAGAACTTGATCCACGCCCCCCATGACGTTGATGTGCTGACTCCCCAGAAACCCTCCTGCCCATATTGTCATTACGTGCGGGAGATTCAGTGAACTGCCTAAGGTCACCATCTTCCTTGCTTACTTGATGCTCATGTGCAGTCCTTACTGCTCCCCGTCTTGGTGGTTCCTCTGGTTCAGTTCTGGTCCCGGATGGAGGAGCTTGAGCTGGAGGCTCGATGTTGGGAAACATATCAGGATTGTCTTGGGGGTCATTTGGGTTTATCATCTTCCCACCAGTTCTACCCTTCCGTGCCTTATCAAAGTAGACTGTGTAAGGAACATTTTCTTCACTTTCCCAGTTGCCAAACTTCGGTACATGTGAGCGTTGCTACAAATATAACAAGATCATTATTATTTCTCATGGTAATATTATTAACATCTACAAAAACATGTTTTGGGAGTGTTTTGTTGAAAAAATAAAAATAAAATGAAAGAAAACAAGGGAGAAAGAAAATAGATAAAAAATATTTATAGATGGATTATATGAAAAACATCAGTGCGATTGTTTCAAAATAAAGTGGGGTATTTAAAAAAGAGGAAAAGTGACTTGGAAAAAATAAATAAAAATAAGTGATTTTTGAAATGTAGGTAAGGAGTAGGTGAAGTGGAGGTGGTAGTGGTGTGGTGGGTTAGGTTTAGTGGAGTAGGTTTAAGTGGGTGAAGTAGGTGGAGAGTATGTGGATTTAGTGGGTTAGGTTTAGTGGAGTAGGTTTAAGTGGGTGAAGTAGGTGGAGAGTATGTGGATTTAGTGGGTTAGGTTTAGTGGAGTAGGTGAGGTGGTAGTGGTGTAGTGGGTTAGGTTTAGTGGAGTAGGTTTAAGTGGGTGAAGTAGGTGGAGAGTAGGTGGTTTTTAACAGTTAGTATAGCATGCGTACAAGAAACTAAGTGGACGGTGAGCAAGTTAGGGAAATTTAGGATACCAGTTTTAAACTGTATTATAGTGGTAAGAATAGACGCAGGAATGGGGTAGGAATCATAGTTGCCAAGGGTCTTGTGGAAAATGTAGTGGCAGTTATTAGGAAATGAGATAGGATTATGTTAGTTAAATTAGTTATTGGAGGGAATATAGTAAACATTATTAGTGCATACGCCCCTCAAGTAAGATTAGATGATCAGACTAAGAGGGATTTTTGGGAGCGAATGGATGAGATCTTACAGGAGATACCCGTAGGAGAGAACCTAGTTATAGGTGAAGATTTTAATGGCCATGTAGGCATAGATATACTAGGCTATGAAAGGGTGCATGATGGATACTGTTTTGGTGATAGAAATGAGGCTCGAGAGAGTATCTTAGATTTTGCGTTGGTTTCTGACCTGGTGGTGGCCAATACTATATATAAGAAGGAGAAACATTTAATAACTTTTAAGAGTGGGTCAGTTAAGAGTCAAATAGGTTACTTCTTAGTGAGAAAAGTGGACCACATAAAATGCAATGATTGTAAGGTGATTCCTAGAGAGAGTCTAACCTCTCAACACAGGATTTCGGTACTAGATTTATATTTTGAAGGGCAATACCAAGTTAGGGGGGATAGTGGGTGTCATAGGACGAGATGGTGGGACTTAAAAGGGATAAACTAGAAATGTTTAAGAATAGAATGGATAAGAAAGGTACTTGGGACTTGAAAGATGATGCTAACATTATGTGAAACTTGATGGCCAATTGTATGAGAAGAATCTCAAGGGAAGTGCTTGGAGAGTCGAAAGGAATGGGACCTAGCTCTATGGAAACTTAGTGGTGGAAGGAAGAGGTTAAAGCGGGTAGTTAAGGCAAAAAAAAAAAGTGCTTTAAAAAGTGGCAGAAGGATAGAACTGGGGAAAACTTTAAGAGCTATAGATTGGCTAATAAGGAGGTCAAGAAAGTAGTGAGAGAGACTAAGTTGAAAGCTTATGATGAACTATACACCAAACTAGATAATAAGGAGGGAGAGAAAAGGGTATACAAACTTGCTAAGATACGGGAGATGAAAACGAGATTTTAATCAAGTTAAGTGCATCAAGAGTGAGGATTCTAAGGTATTGGTGAAGGATGAAGAGATTAAGGAGAGATAGAAGAACTATTTTGAGAAACTATTAAATGAGGAACATGGAGTATGTCAATAGGGGAAGAAATAGACAGTAATACGATAAACCAAGACTATAGGTTTTATCGCAGTATTAAGAACTTTGAAGTGGAGATTGCACTTAAGAAGATGAAATCAAATAAGGTTTTAGGACCCGATGATATCCCTATTGAAGCTTGGAAGTGTTTTGGTAAAAAAGGAGTTGCTTGGTTGACTAGATAATTTAGCAAAATTTTGTTGACTAGGAATATGTCAGATGAGTGACGGAAGAGTATTTTAGTGCCAATCTATAAGAATAAAGGAGATGTTCAAAATTACAACAACTATATAGGAATCAAGCTAATGTGTCATAAGTATCGAAACCTTCTTGCCAAAGTGTTAGAGTGTACGATTTAAATTTCTCTCTCTAGATAAGAGACTTTCTACCAATGGGTATGGTCTCTGGGTTTATCCTTGGTTTTCTCCTCAGTGTTTGAGTCTTCCTTACCTTTGCCTTTCTTAGCCTCCCTTCTCTCTGCCTACTCAACCCTTTCTTTCTTCTTCTCTCTCAGCCTTCCCCTGCATTGCTTCTTCAGTCTCACTCCCTTCGATCCCTTCCCTATGGCGGATACTATGCAAAAGCCGAATGGTCCCCTCACCATCAAGCTAGAAGAAGGCACGGATGGGAGTGTTGACAACTCGAATCTATGTCTGATCGGAAAGATCATGGCCTCAAAACTTCTTAATAAGCAAGCGGTCTCTCGTATCCTTCTTGGCGCTTGGAAAACTATGGCTGAGGTAACCATCTCTGCTTGGCCTGATAACATTTATTTGTTTAGCTTTCAAAATGAAGAGGACAGAGCTTTGGTTTTGAAAACAACCCCTTGGTCTATCATGGGTAACCTTTGGTTCTTCAACCACCAGTTGTTGATAAAGCTATGTCTGAAATGGAGTTTACTTATTGCCATTTCTGGATTCAGGTCCATGGTCTTCCCATGGACAAAATGACGAGACAAAGGGGTGGTTTGAGATGATCTAAATAAGTGTACTTTTTGACTTTTTGTGAAATATGGGTTGAGTATGGGTTGGGTTTGAAGTGATGTGTTAGAGAAGTGATGTGTTAGAGAGGTGATGTGACTTAAATAAGATGATGTGACTTAAATAGGATAGTGACTTTTTGACTTTTTGACTTTTTTAGAGTATCCCAAACAAGGCCAAAATGGCCAGATTATTGGGGAATCGATTGGGAATCTCATCGGGGTTGAAGCTCCAAATGATGGCCTTCTACGCTCTCGCAGTTTTCTTTGAATTCGGGTGGAGGTAAATGTCACTCTTCCTCTTCCACCGGGGTTTAAGTTGCAACGACCGATTAAAGGATCCACAGAGATACAAGAGCTTTGGGTCTCCTTCAAGTATGAAAGACTCTCTGATTTTTGCTATGACTGTGGAAGAATCGACCATGACAAAAACTCTTGTAAGTATGTGTCCCGAGAGGCTGGTTGGTTGTCTGGTTACAGTCCCGAGTTGCGAACTGGGGTGGCCAGAAACATCGTTTTACCTGTGGAATTTTACCGGCATCAGATTGATGATTTAGAAGATCGTTTACGCCCTTTACTCCGGCGTACTACTAACCCTACACCGGAGCGTGAGGATGGCCTGAGGGCCGAACCGGAGCCTGGCCAAACCAGTACTATGGGTAATGGGGCACGATCGCCACTACCGTCCTCTTCTCCTGCAGCACAGACTGTGCAGATTGAGTCGCCACTCCATCCGCCACGTGGCACAACCGGGGCTACTACTGGTGCTAAGGTGTACACTCCACTACTTCAAAGGATAGCCCCAACTCCTTAAATAGCCCACATTCACTCCTGTCTAAATGTCCAAGACCTTCTCTAGAAAACAACCATTCCCCTAGCCCAACTTCCTCACCAAAAGCCCTATCCCTGTGTAAAGGACTTCCAACCAACCTCATATCTAATGTTTTTTATGGACTATCTTTAAAAAGAAAGGCCAATGAAGAGGATTTGACTAGCCCAAACCCCACAAAAAACTATCAAAATAGCCCAAGAGTCTTTTAAAGATTTGAGCCTTTCCTTAACTCAACTTCCTCCCCTAATTCTTTTCCCTTTATCAAACGTTGGAAAGCCCCAGGCTAGAAAGGGTAAAGTGGATAGACCTCCCAAGACTAAAGGGAAATCTGCTAGTGTGTTGAACCCCAAGGCTTATTCAATGTGGAAATTCGGGATGAGCTGCTTGTAAGGGTGGATTCGACGGATTTTATATCTCAGATCCTTAGTACCTTTCCTGAGGAGTCTGAAGGAGATGGAAATAAAAGGGCATTGGTGGCTGGCCTTCAACAGCCACACGGGCCATGCTAATTATCAGCTGGAACTATCAGGGGATAGGGCGACCTCTGACAGTCCAGATCCTTAGAGGGTTATGCATAACCCATCGTCCTGGTGTGGTCTTTCTGATGGAAACTAAGAATAAAAGGGTGGTCTTAGAACGGATTCGACAATGGCTTAAATTTCCAAATTTTAGTTATGTGGATCTCGATGGCATTGCGGGAGGATTAGCTCTCTGGTGGTCCGATGAGGTGGACATTGATGTCAGACATAAGAATGCTAATATCCTTCGTTGTGTGATATCTCATTCCAGTACCCGATGGCTTACTACGTTTATTTATGCTCCCCCACGAGCTGTGAATCGTGATGTTTTTTGGAACCACATCTGCCAAGTTGCGAAGGAAAATCAATTGCCTTGGTTGTGTATAGGTGACTTTAATGAGATTGGGTCAGTTATGGAGAAAGAAGGAGGGTCTGTGCCAAACCTGCGTAGAATCGAAAAATTTCAAGCTGTTATGAATGAGTGCACTCTTATGGATCTAGAATTCAAAGGCAATGCTTTTACATGGTCAAACAATCATATGGGGTCGAGTATTGTCCGCGAACGTATTGATAGGGCCGTCTCCACAGTGGCTTGGAGGGAGTTATTCCCTTGTGCACAAGTATTCCATGAGGTTATATTTGGCTCCGACCATTGCCCCCTTTTGCTTAATTCCTGTGTTCCACCATCCAGAGTCCCTTGTTTTTTCAAGTTTGAATCCATGTGGACTACCTCCCCAAATTGCAAAGCTATTATTCATGAACACTGGCTGATGTCTCACTCGGGCTCACCAATGTTTCGTCTTTGTCAAAAACTCAAGAGTTGCCGCTTGGGACTCAAAGCTTGAAGTAGGGGTGAATTTGGCAACAATAAACTTAAAATCCTTTCTCTCAAAGAGTAGCTGGCTCAACTGCAAGCTTCCCCTCCTTCTGAGGATAACACAACTGCCCAGCGTTCTCTTCAAGCCGAACTTTCTGCAACTCTTCTTCGGGAAGAGATGTTTTTACATCAGCGATCCAGAGTGAGGTGGCTAAAATATGGTGATCAGAATTCCTCTTTCTTTCATGCATCAATTATTCAAGGAAGACAGAGAAATCAATTACTTACTCTTCAGAATGATGATGGGCACTGGTTGACTACCGATGAGGAGATAAACTCTCATCTGTTGGATTATTTCTCTAATCTGTTTAAGAGTGGGCCTCCGAGGGATACGGATTCTGCTTTGCAAGGGGTTCACCAATCAGTTACAGCTACAATGAATCTCAACCTTACCAGACCTGTATCTGATTCGGAAATAAATCTGGCAGCCTTTCAATCGGGTCCTCTGAAAGCTCCGGGTCCGGATGGGTTTTCTGGGATTTTTTACCACCAGTACTGGGATGTAATCGGGGAGGAAGTGAGTATAGCAGTTCGAAGCTTTTTTGAGAACGGACATCTACTCCGGGAATGGAACCGAACTAACCTAGTGCCTATCCCTAAAGTTCCAAACCCGGTAAAGCTCTCTCAATACCGCCCTATTAGCCTGTGCAACTTTAATTTAAAAATCATTTCTAAAATCTTGGCCAACAGACTCAAACCTGTTCTTCAGCAAGTGGTCTCTCCCCAACAGTCGGCCTTCGTCCCTGGCCGTTTGATCCAGGATAATATCATTGCAACTCATGAAGTGTTTCATCATTTGAAACTAAAGAGAAGAGGGACTACAGGTGTCATGGCAGTGAAGTTGGATTTTAATAAGGCTTATGATAGAGTTCAGTGGGACTTTTTATATGCCCTCTTGGGCATGACGGGGTTTGATGCAAAATGGATTCAATGGATCATGGGGATTATTACGACAGTTTCCTTTTCCATTTTTGCTAATGGTATGAAGCGTGCTTCCTTCCTCCCCACTCGGGGCTTGAGGAAAGGTGATCCTCTCTCTCCGTATCTTTTTGTCTTGGTGGCCGATGCCCTTTCGGTTTCTCTGACCTATAGTCTCCAGGAACATCATATCATGGGGCTCCAAATCAAACCAAGCAGTCCTACATTAACCCATCTCTTCTTTGCGGACGATGCCCTTTTATTTGCTAAGGTTGAAGTGACGGAGTGTCAAGCTTTGAAATAGATTCTGGAGGCGTATTG